GCCCTGGTCATGGAAAAGCTGCCGTCCTGGGCAGCCCCTCAGCCCGTGAAGAAGAACCTGATGACAATGAGGGACGAGGCCTACATCAACTTTGAGCCGCTGGGAGTGGTGCTGATCATCGGGGCCTGGAACTACCCCTTTGTGCTGGTCATGCAGCCTCTGATCGGGGCCATCGCAGCAGGTGGGGCCCGTGCTTGGTGGGGCTGTGGGTGGGTGCTGGGGGAGAGGAAGATGAGGGCTGAGGGGCTGTGCTGTGTCTGTCTTGTAGGCAATGCTGTGGTGGTGAAGCCCTCAGAGGTCAGTGAGAACACAGCTAAGCTGGTGGCTGATCTCCTCCCCCAGTACCTGGACCGGGTGAGTGTGGCCCCTGTGCCTGACATCACTGTCCTGGTCTGCTTCCAAAGGGCTCCTGGGGGTTCAAATCAGTTGCCCGCTCTCTTTAAAGGAGATTAAGCAGGAGGCACAGGAAGGGTTGTATTACTCTTGAAAGTACAAAGGTGTGTTGACAAATTCTTCCCGTGTTTATGTAACCTGAGGTGCTTACATTACATAATGCTGCTGCAGGGTGTTAGTCTTTTTGCCCCACATGACCACGTGTAGAGGTGTTTACATACTTGCCCCTGCTGTAGCTGCTCTTTTGGAGCCATGTTAGGGATGCCCCTAGGTAAGCACAGGTTTGGTTGAACGCTGGCTGTGCCTGGCTCTTCCTGAGAAAACTGGGCACCATGGCAGGACCTCCAAGTTTTTTGTGTCCTGCTGACCCCACACTCGTAGCAGGATGTGTTGTTTCTCCTCCACTTGCTTGACTGTTCTGACATCATTGCACTCTGTCACTGAGATACTGTTGATTTGACAGCACAGGCCCCTGTGCAGTTTCCTCCCGAGAGTCAGTGCATTCTCTAGGTGGGAGGCAAGAGCAGAGGAAGGAGACAGCCCGTGGGAGAGCCCGACAGTCCTTTGTGCCCTGAGTCTTACTGTGCAGGCGTCTGACTCAGCCCCGGCTTCAACCTCCGTTTCATTAAATCTGTGTGGCACAAAGTGGGAGGTGAAACTTCATTTCAGGGGAAGGAGTAGAGCATGCCTGTTATCTGTCACTGTCTTTTGTCCAGATCCTAAAGTATCTCACAAATTATCCTACACTCTGCCACGTGCAGAGCTGCTGCCTTGGTACACTTGCTTTAAATCAAGGTGACTGTTAGGCTCTGGTTTGCCCTGCAGGAGCTGTACCCCGTGGTCACTGGAGGAGTTCCTGAGACAACAGAGCTGCTCAACCAGAGGTTTGATCACATCCTCTACACCGGCAACACCGCAGTGGGTAAAATTGTGATGGCAGCAGCTGCCAAGCACCTGACACCCGTCACCCTGGAGCTGGGTGGGAAGAGCCCCTGCTACATCGACAAGGACTGTGACCTGTCCGTCGCCTGCAGGTCAGGCCATTGCACCCCCTCAGCAGTGGGGCAGGGACACATCTTTGGTGCAGTGTCCCCAGCTGAGGTGCTGTCAGCTGGGCTG